CCTTTTCTCCTTCCTTCCTTCCTTCCTTCCTTCCTTCCTTCCTTCCTCCCTCCCTCCCTCCCTCCCTCCCTCCCTCCTTCCTTCCTTCCTTCTTTTCTTTTCTTCTTCGTTCCTTCCTTCCTTCACAGGGTTACTTTGTATACCCCTTGCTATCAGCACTTATTCTGTAGATCAGGCTGACTTTAACCTGAGAGATCCACCTGCCTCAGCCTCCAAAGTGCTACGATTAACTGCGTTTGTCACCATGCCCAGCTTGTTACTGAGAGGATTGCAGTGTTTAGCCCTAGATGGCCTGGAACTTACAAACTGTCCTTGAGTTTTAAGTGATCCTCTGCCTGTACCTCCTGTGTGCAGAGATTACAGGTGTGGTGAACTATGCCTAGATGGGATATGTTTTGTTTTTTGCACTTTCCTTTTTTAAAGCCTAAGGTTCATTTCTAGCATAGTTTTTTTAATAGGGAAAAGTTGAACCCTTGTGAGTTGGTCGGTCTTTTACCCCATTCAACCAGGGATCTGCAGGAGAAGAGATTCAGGTAGAGAGATGGTGAAAGTGTAGCTGAGATAAGATTTTCACCTTTAGGTTTTTCTTTTGGTTACCCCTTACACCTAGCCCCTAGTCAGTGATTCTGAACCCATAGCCTGTACATTTTAGGCAAGCAAAAATGGAACTCAGAAGAACTCCAGTTTAAATAAATAAATAAAAATACACACACACACACACACACACACACACACACACACACGAGCTAAGGGAAGTATGAAGAGCTGTTGGGGTTCCAGGTCCATACCACTTTCCAGGCCAGTGTCAAAGGGATCACATTTTAAAATTGCCTTCTGATGCTGACTTCAGCTGCCTGAGTTTGAGAGTTACAGATGTTTCTTTACAGAGGAGCTTAATTTGCCTGCAGACATCCCCAGCTATTTGTCTTCCCAAGGAACACTGTCTGAACCACAGGAAGGCTACAGCAACTCTGAGGCAGGCAGTCATCAGCAACTTATGCCTCCTGCCAATGGATATATTCACAAAGGCACTGATGGTAGGTCCTTACTGTTCATAGTTACAATTTCAGCCTGTTCTTTTGGGTTTATTATTCTGTGTATAGTTTCCCCATTAGTCTGAGTCAATATTTTAAAATAAAACATTGAAAACATTTAGCTTGTGTAAAATGGAATGAAAATTGACTATAGTCTTAACCAGAGAAGGCCATCTTAAAAAAAAGAAACACATTAGCCTTAAACAGGGATTGAAGGGCACAGCTGAGGCTCCTGGATCTCTGTCATGACAAGAAGAGGATGTTCTGGAACCTCGGTTCAAGTGTTTCTCACCCATTTAGAGAGGAGCATCCTTTGGATAACATCCAGAGGCATTTGGTTCTCCTGCTGACAGGTAGGTACGTAGTAATGTTTAGAGGGCAAAATGACTCTCAGCCTGTAAAAGAGAACGTCAGAGGTCTATAATATGTCCGTAGTAAAGGGACTAGGACTTCCTTTGCCCTTCTCTCCTCACACCCTCACTTCTGTAGAAAGTGAGACACAGGAGGGTGGATTTGATTAGGGATAGTTTGAGCAGCTACTGTCACTTAACCTCTTGACTCATAAAAGTAACATGGACTCTCATGTCATGATGATGCCTTATTTGCTTTAATTTGCTCAAGCTACACATGTATCTCAGACAGAGGTCCAGAATTCAAGAGCATAGGCTGTGAAACCAGAGTACTTAGATTTAATTTTCAGCTCTTCCTCCTGTCATACCTGTCTGTAAAGTAGAGACGAGAATTGTGTCCATTTCATAGAGATGTTGTGAGGAGTAAATGAGTTAATTCGCATAAAGACCTTGAAATTTCACCTGCTTTATAAAGTAAGTGTGCTCTAAGTACTATAGCTATTAAAGAAAGTTGATTATTTCAAAACTATTCCTTAACAGAAAAGCATTTGGGTTCTTTCCATGTTATTATTAGGTGGCACGGGCACCCGGGTGATCTGTTCAGATTGTTATGACAACGCCAACATCTACTCAAGGACCAGAGAATACTGTCCATACACCTATATTGCTGAGGAGGATGTTTTAGATCAGACACTCTCCAGCCTCATGGTTCAGATGCCCAAAGAGACATTTTTGTCACATCCTCCCCAAGATGCTGCTAATCTGGAGAATCTGATACCATCAACAGAGCGAGAGCTGTCTGCCTTTCCTACCAACCACGAGAGGATGAGTGAGAACCTTCCCTTCTCACAGATGAGCAGTGGTAATGCTTTTGTTCTATTTGGAGCTTTTGATTTCACTGATCGGCCTTTCTGTTGTATCAGTAGCATGCTCATTTAACAGGAAACAAACAAACCAATATACTAGAATAATTGCCATTGTTTACGGGTGTCAACTAGAGGTCATTACTTATATTTTCTCCCATCTTCATTTAAATAATAGAGAGTTGAAGTGCTAAAAGTAGGGCTTGAGAAACCTAAAATGTTTTGTTTGGCTGTTTTTCTGTCAAGCAAACAATCTCAGCATCATAATCTCACCTCCCCACCCTGTGTCAGTAAAACATAGCTCTTTCTGGACCATGATGGGAACTATTCTCAAGTAGCTCCTTAGCTGTCCCTTCCTCTCAGAGGAAGAACATGGGGGAACAAACAGAGCACAGAGCAAAAATTACAGAGGAAGGTAAAGTATAGAGTTGCTTCCAGGGACAGTTCTGGCAGCAATAAATGATCTAACACGAGACTGAAGATATCCTCTGTATGAGACCAGTTCTAAAGATTTTTCAAGAGGTATAGGTTAAAAAAGAGCACTGTAATCAAAGGTAGTCTCTTAGCTTTTTTTAGTATCATGAAAGAACTCTAAGTATAATACATCTTTTAACCTCTGGGATATCTTCATTTGGAGTCGGCTTTTAAGTAAAGAGATGAGCAAATGAGAGTGCCTTGGTGCATTGTCCATTCTTTGCCTAGGGTACTGTAATTAATTCTATCCATTGTGTGCTAGGGTTTATTAGCATTACCTTAGAACTTGTTAGAGATGTTGTATTCCCACCCTAGACCTAGTGAATCTAAATCCAAATTTTAATAAGGCCCAAAGATTATTTGTATTCTTTGTTGTTGTTGTTGTTGTGACAGTGTCATGCTCAAATTCAATAGCAACCCTTCTGCCTCAGCCTCCCAAGTGCAAATCCTAGGATTATGGCACAAGCCACCTCACGTGGCTTGTATTAAATTTGGGGTTTTATGTGTGAGGTGTGCATGTGCATGGAGACACATGCATGGGGAGACTAAAGGAGAATGTCTAGAGTTATTCAATATTGCCTTCACCCTGTTTGTTGAGACAGAGTCACTTTGTAAGCCGCAAGACTGCTGGTTAAGCAAGGCTGACTGGCTAGCAAGCTCCTGGATCCTCTTGTCACTGCTCCTCAATGCTGGAGTTACAGTCATACATGATGTTGCCTGGCTTTTTGTGAGTGCTGAGAATTTGAACTCAGGCCTTCTTGCTTTCACAAGTCCTCTTATCTACTGAACCATATCCTCAGCCCCATCGTGCACATTAAATCTTGAGAAATCAGCCAGATGTGGTGGCACATTCCTTTGATGCCAGTACTCAGGGAGGCAGAGGCAGGCAGATCTCTGAGTTTGAGGCCAGCCTGGTCTACAAATCGAGTCCAGACAGCTAAGGCTACACAGAGAAACCCTGTCTCTAACAACCAAAAAAAAAAAAAAATTCTTGAGCAATCATGCCCTAGTTTATATTCTTTTTTTTTTTTTAATTTTATTTTTCTTTTTAGTTACATTTTGTTAACTCTGTGTCCCAGCTGTATCCCGCTCCCTCATTCCCTCCCCAACCTAGTTTATATTCTAGGTGAATTTTGCTTTCATTTGTGGAAGTTTGTTTCCAGAATGTTAGACTAGGTTTTCCCAAAATATGTTCTCATTCTCCACCTCTTACTCTGTGTTTGTGTGTTTATCATCTTGTACCTCAATCTTCTCAGTGCTTTGACAACACCTGAACCCAGCCAGGTTCAGTTCCCAGCACCCATATGGTGGCTCACAACCATCTATAACTACAGTTCCAGGAGACTTGATGCTCTCTTCTGACCTCTCCTGTCACCAGGCACATTTGGTACACTACACTCTGGCAAAACATCCATATACATAAAAATTTTTTAAAAATATATTTAAAGAAGTACCGGCTCCATTGAACCAATGGTTATTATCTATGTGTCATGAAACTGTCATTACAGTATGTTTTTTTTTTTTTAATTTCTTTTCCATGTGTCTAGAATTTTGTACTCTATTTTGATCTTAGTTATGGTCTCTATTGCTGTGATGAAACACTATCACCTTGGGGAGGAAAGTTCATCATCAAAAGCAGTGAGGGCAGGAACTTACACAGAGCAGGAACCTGGAGGCAGGAGCTGATGCAGAAGCTAAAGGGCTGCTGCTTACTGCCTTGCTCCCATGGTTTTGCTCAGCCTGCTTTCTTATAGCACCCAGGACCACCAGCCTAGTAGCACCACCCATCATGGGTTGGGTCCTCCCACATCAAGCACCGCTGAAGAATATGCCATACAGGCTTGCCCAATCATTTTTTAAGTTTTTTAATTAAATTTTTATTTTTTTATATTAATTAGTTTATTTACTTTGTATCCCATCTGTAGCCCCCTCCCTCATTCGCTGCCAACCCTACCCTCCCTCATCTCCTCCCTGCCCCTCTCTTAAGTCCACTGATAGGGGAGGTCCTCCTCCCCTTCTATCTGACCTTAGCTTATCAGGTCTCATCAGGACTGGCTGCATTGTCCTCCTCTGTGGCCTAGCAAGGCTGCTTCTCCCTCAGTGGGGGAAGTGTGTCAAAGAGCCAGCCACTGAGTCCATGTCAGAGACAGTCCCTATTCCCCTTACTAGTGTACCCATTTGGAGACTGAGCTGCCATGGGCTACGTCTGAGCAGGGGGTTCTAGGTTATATCCATGTATGGTCCTTGGTTGGAGAATCAGTCTCAGAAAAGAACCCTGTGGCCAGATATATTTGTTCCTTGACTTTTTGTTGGTTCTTTATGTGTTTCACATCGTGTATCCCAGTCTGACTCATCTCCCTATTCCCTCATATCCATCTTTCACCCTTGCAACCTCTCCCGAAAAATCTCACACACACACACACACACACACACACACACACACCCCAAACAAACAAACATCATGGAAGCTTTAGTATGTCACAGTGTGTCCCACAGTATCTCCCTCTGCCCACACATCTTCACTTGCAAATGTTCATTTGCAGTGAGTCAGTGGTCTGGTTTGAGAGCTCTAGGTTCTCTGACATCATCAATATTGGATCCTCACCATGTCTCCTTCCCATTATTGACCTGTGTCATGGAGTTCCTGCACCACTGAATCTGCAAGACCAGTCCTTTCACACACTCTGGCAGTTCATAGATGCAGTAGACTTTGGAGTAGGCCAACTTAAACCCTGGATCTGGGCATGGGTGGTAGGTAGCTGAGTTGATCAGCCCACTAGCTCTCCCACACCAGGGCAAGCTCTCCAGCACTGCTCTAGCTAAGCCACCCAGTGCTGCCACTGGCAGGAAGCAGGATCAGTTCTTCTGCTCTCATGCCTTTGGGGCCAGCTTACTCTCACCCACAGCTCCAGAGCCAGCGCTGCTGTGCTGCCCATTCAAGGAATGGGCCCACTCTCCCAGTTGCTTCAGCCTGCAAGGGGCAGGATCAGCTCTCCCACTCTTACACTCTGGGGGCTAGCTTTCCTATGCTTTCACCGCCAGGGCCAGTTACACTGTGTGGTCCAGGTGAGGTGCAGGGCCCACTGAGTGCTACAGCCAGTGAGGTGGCAGGGCTAGCTTTTCCACTCTCATGCGCTAAGAGCCAATTCTCCCTCCCTCATGCCCTCAGGGCTGGCTCATCGGCAACCTGCCACCAGGGCCAGCTCTACTCTGCAACTCAGGTAAGGTGTAGGTTTCACTCTCCTAAGTACTGTAGCCAGTGAGGGGCAGGGCCAGCTCTCTCACTTTTCATGACCCTGGGACCAGCTCTCCCAACTGCCATAGATGGTGAGGGTTGTGTATGGGGGGCGGGGATGGACATTATAGTAATACCACCTCACAGAGGGTAAGTTCCAAGGCCAGCTCTCTCATGCTTTTGCCTTTTAGTCCAGCTCACCTGTGCCCCCACCACCAGGTTCTAGTCATAGTGCAGGGGCCTCTATTCCAAGTGCTGCAGCTTGTGAGGGGCAGAGCTAGCTCAGGCTTATGAAGTCATTTTCTTAGTTGAGATCCCCTCTGATAACTTCAGCCTGTGTTAACTTGACATAAAACTAGACAAGACAATTCTTTGCAGAAAAGCTAGTAAATAACAGGCGAAAAAGAAGAGCAAGATTTCATAAAGTTTTGGTAGTTTGTGGTTCCAGTTTTTATTTTATTTTGTTGTTGTGTTTAATGTTGGCATTGTGATCTTGGTGTCCTTATCTAGGATGCTGGCATCTGTACTTTTGAGGATTGGGTTAAAAGGATACCAGGGGCTGGAGAGATGCCTGAGGAGTAAAGGGCATTTATTGCGTGTACAGAGATCCTAGATTTGATTCTCAGTTCCCACATGGCTGCTCACAGCCTCTTTCGGTACCAGACACACATGTCTGTGTAACATGGTGTTACACAGACCATGCAGAGAAAACACCCATACACATTTAATAATTAATTTTTAAAAAAGCAGATCAGGCTTTAGGAAATTAATTTTGAAATTTCAGCTTTCACTGATGATATATCTTGTCTCATTCTCAGAAATGTTTCAGCGTCCTCTGTGGAACATGAACAGAGAACTGGGCCTACTTCCTTTCCCCCAGCAGCCTGTCCTTGAGTCATCACAGCTGGCCGAGAGGGATCCAAACTGCTCTTCGCCTGTGTCTTGCCACAGGTTACATGACCACGCTTTTGATTTTAGTAGGACTCGGAACATTCGAGATGGTGGTGAGGGCACATGAAGCTTGTCCAGGAGGAGGTCCAAGCAGAGACTAAAGCTAGTTAGTTCACTACCTCAGAATTGAGAAGAGCCCCCAAAGTCAGCATTTGCGCTACTCTTTGCTTCAAGTTACATCTGACCACACCAAAGTAGCCCTGATGTCTGTTTGGGCTTACACCTAGCAAAGAGAAGCAGTGGCTGACAAAAGTGTACCACAGAAATGTGCACTGCATTGAAAGTACACAGCTCTGGCAGAAGACGACATGGGCAGGTGTCCTTCCTGATGGCCCCACAGGGATGTGCCCAGGTGTGCATTGTCTGTCATGAAGGGTGTCGTTGCTGCTTAGCCTGCTGGACTAGCCCAGTCCTCAGAGTGGTCCTGAGAAAGCATCACTACTTGACATTCTACTTTACCTTCCAAGCAAGGAGCAGAAATAGCTTCTGAGCTCTCATCAGTATGACTGGGATTCTCTGTGGTGCTGAGCTGAGAATAGCAGCTGAGGCTTTGATATTCAAGGTCTTCAATTAGAATCCAAGTTTCACCAACTGGTACCAGATCAAAGGCTTTTGTATTCTTGTGGATTGTGTGTATGTGTGTGTGTTGTGTGTGTGTTTTGTCCCTATAACCAGGGATGTCATTATAAATATATGTGCATTTATAAATAATTTTTCTACTCATTGACCTTGTGTATTGGCTACAGTGTAAATATTTTTGATATGCCTAAATTATATATAATGTCTGTCTGGTTACTATATGGGCAACAGATTCTCAAGATCACAGATTTTGCATAACTTAGTTTAGTGAGGTCTGTAAACTCTGTTTAAAGTTTTAAGACTGTTTATTACTAGGTGTATGTAGAGAGGCAGGGTACTTAGTGAGTGATTGTGTGCTCACAGACTCAGTTGTGGTGTAATTAACTGCTTGCTTCATGCCTGAAGGTCCATGCATCCTATACTTGCCATCTGTTTACAAGTGCCAGGTGATAATCTCGTCCTAGCATAAATGTCTTGCTCTTCCAGCTCAGCAGCCTTGTCACAGCCCTGTGAGCATAGAAGATGACTTATTTTGGGACTGTCTTCTTTCAGCAGAGTACTTTGATGACAAGAAAGCCAAAGATTGTTCTTTTTCATGTTTACTTTGTTTTAATCACCTTCACGAATGTAGCATATTAAGAAGGGCAGTGCGCTCCTGGGAGTAGATCACTCGGACGTTCTTGTGCTCTGTAAATTTAGAGTGGCTCTTTATGCGAGTTTTTATTTAAGCCAAAAAGCTTTATGTAAATGAAGAATGTTAACACTAATGAAGTGTCATGTGCTTTCAGTCTGTCCTCTGAGTGTAGTACCAGCTCCCTGCTAGGTGGCTCCCAACTTGTAAAGGTGTCTATTTATAAGTAACTGTATATTTCTAGAGTTCCAAACTCACACAGTTTCTTAGCTTTTTGTCAGAAAGTTAAGATGAATTTTGGAATTTTTCCCATGCTTGTTTTAATCCTAGTTTTTTCTTTCTCAGACAGCAGCACTGTTAGTTTTTTTAACTTCTTGTTCTATTCAAACTGTCATGTTTTCTTCATTTTCACTTTAAAATGTTTCTAGTCTGACCAGCAAGAAAACAAAAAACTGGAACATGCCCAAAAGGAAAAAAGTGTATAGTGCAAAGGGATGAGACTAGAAATTAAGAGCTCGCTCGTGACACTGCTCTTGTTAGCTGTGTGTCTCTTACAGGAGAAAGGTTGCTTACTAGCTGCTCCAAGCTCTCTCCAGCTCCCTCCAGGAACCAAAGAGGACTGAGCCACTTCAGTAAAGATCTGCCTTTGTGAACTGTTAGCTAGATCAAGCGTGATGCTGCTCGCTCTTACTTGAGCTGTATTTATTTTGCCAGTAGGGGACTAACAGTCTAAGAAACGCTCAGGGGAGGGAAAAAATGTTCTGCTTCTAAACAGTGTCAGTAAACAAAGACTCACATCTGAATTGAAAAGTTGCCTTTTGTCCTCAGAGCTGCTGCTCACAGGAGGGTCAGGATGGAGGTGTGCCTTGGTTCAGTTGTAGCTGGCCATGCCACTTTTTCTGTGGTCAGGGTTCTGTGCTGTCCTATCTGTTATTGTCAGGGTAGAAAACAGGCCCCCACCCAGTCCTCTAGAAACACTTTATCCAGGACATTGCCTCCAAGCTCCAGCAGTGGCCCTTCTGCTGGGATGCCAGTCTGGTCTCTGAGGGTTGGTGAACTTCTGGACCTGTCTTCCCAGATCTCTGGCTTGCTTAAATAACTGACTAGGAACTCATTTACAGATGAGCCTGTCCCTGGTCTTAAACTAACAACAGATTCTAACCTTAGAGAACTTGGTTGCACATGTTTGACCAAGTGCTCTTTACCCTTCTGGTGATAGGATTAGTGTCTGCTCAGCACTTCCTCCAGGCTGGATAGGTCCACACGGGACTAAGTCAGGAACTCTGCAAAGCAAGGCAGACTGACATTTTGAGAGAACTGTCCCCAGCCAGTTCCCACATCATTTCAGTGTGGATGCATAAGCTCTCTTAATTTGTTTGTGCCTCTCTTAGGCTGATTCTACAAGTGGACCTATACGAAGTAGCCTTTTCCTTGAACTCTAGGCCTTACCAGTGCGGATCTACACTCACCTTTCTGTTACTCATCTGCATGCAGGCTGCTATCTGAAATATGAAGTACTTGAAATCGAACCCTGGTGAATAGCTGTCCATAAGGCCATACCTCAGAAGCTTTGCATGGGTAGTTTGGGTCAGGTTAACTTTTACTCTTGGTTGGCTGTATGTTGCACAGGGAAGGGTTGTAAAGGATCGTTAGTCTGCATCAGGCAGTTTCAGCACTGTCGGCCATCCTTTGAAAGGGGTGACAAGAAATTGCAGATGTCATCTCCAGGGAGGTGTAGAGTACATATCTTAGTCTAATAATTACACTTCCCTGATAATGGAAATAGTCTGCCTTTGGCGGGAGGTAGGCACAGATGTTAATTGCTGACCATCTGAAGAAAGTGATGGAGTGGAGCATGGGCAGTACTATAATGTCATTAGCTTGTCCTTTGTGTTCTGTTTAGTTCACTTCAGATTTTTTTTTTTTTAATCATTTGGAACAAAGGAATCTGATCTGTGTTCATTGCTAAAAACATGAAATGTTGGCATTTTTTCTGATAAAATCCTATACTTCTGACATAGTGTCATTACTTTGACAAAAAACTTAAGTCAATGTTTTCATTTTTTTCTGAATTTTATATATTTTTTAGCACCCACTGACCTTGGATTCTCAGTCTCCTGCCTCGCTCTTTCAAATGTGGAGACTGTGTGTATGTCTGACTTGATTAATTTTTATTCTTTCCTATGGAAGCAGCTGGAGTTGAGTTGGTTTAGTGTTCTGCTTTATGTTTTACCTAAGTGTGTGAGGATGGCCTTTTCTCAAAATTGAAGATTCACTGACGTGCTGCATTGGCAAGAAGTAACAGATCAGTGTGCCTGTCATGTCTTCATACCCGCCCCCACCCCTTGTGCTGGGATTGAGCCTATAGCTTCCTGAATGCCAGCTGCATGCTCTTCCACCGAACCCAGGCCCTGCATTTGTTCTCTTTTTATGTGAGACACAGCCCATCCTTGGGCCTTTGTTTTCGTTTTCTCTTTTGGCAGTCCTAGGTACTGAGCCTGTAGCTTCCTGCATACCAGGCCAGTATTCTACCTTTGAGCTGCAGCTTCAGCTAAATATTATTTTGCTGCAGGTGAATGGGTGGTTATAAAGAAACAATGGGACCATAAATAGTTGAGCTGGTGTTTTCTGTTGGATGGTCTCTTTGCCAGGCCATTTTGGTGGCATGCTTCCACTGCCCTCTCTACTTCAAACTTTTTGTTTGGAACATTATCTTAATATACAGCAGCTAGCTTAGATTTACTTTTTCTTTTATTCTATTTTTGACATTTATCTGGTTCACTGACTGAAGTACCAAGTGTCCGAGTTACGGATGTATTAGGAACTGTACTTGGAACATCTGAAAACCCAGGAAACACTTGTAGGTTTGTGAGAAGGCGGGAGGGGAAAGAGAGGTTGGTATGTGCTGTCCTAGGAGTCAAACCCAGGCAAGCACTCTCAAGGTCTACGTGTTTTAGGTTAAGATTTGGATGCACTCCTTCCATTGACCATTGTTTCTTCGAAGTCCTGATAATCATGGTGAAGAGGGGTTTGACTTGTCTTTGCCTGTTTTTGGATGTGAAGTGATCTTGTAGCAGCTGTAACTGTTTTCAAAGAGAAGTTGATCTTCAGGTGGCTAAGTGCCCTTGAAATATCTTATGGCTACTGGAGATGGCCTCTTCACCCGCTGAGTGACTTCTCCCTGCTGCCCTCTGTTCTCTTCCCCATTAGAGGATGTCAGGCTGAGCCGCCCTGGGGGAAGGCGTCTCTAAAGAGAAATACAAAGCCAAATTGTTCAGTGTGTCTGTTTCCTGGTATCCATTATATTTTCTCACATAAGAATGTATATTTTATAGAGCATGTGTTCGCCCTATCTACTGTGATGTCAATAAAGCTAAAACATGATTCTTTGGTCTTCTCTTGCCTGAAGTATAGGAATGAATATGAATAATGAGTTTGTTTGGGCCCTTTGGAGGGGAGTTTTCAAGTAGTTAAGTTAAGTTAAAATGAGTAGCTTGCTTTTCTCTAGCTGTCACCAAGTCCTACTTGGAGGCTGGAGTGCCTCCTTGTCCCTCCTGGGGTTCACTGTGGTGCTGGGAGACAAATGGACTCAGCAGTCATGAAAGTGTTCTTTGCAAAGGGGAAATTTGAGACCAATATTTTCTAGTCTGGTAAAATCTTTGGTTAACATGGTATTTCAATGTTTCACTATTCTGTATCTTTGTTGCTCTGCCACCTCAGGGACTTGGCTCTTTGGGGTGTCAGCGCTTTGAAGACTGGGCTTGTCACACTGATGTCATTGTGTGCATCTGCCACACTTTGGGAAGCACTCACATGAATGTCCCAACAGTCTGGGGTTATAGATGAGGCAGACATCTTTAATCTGCATTATGTAGTTAAGGAAGCTGCCTCAGTGAAGCTATATACCCAGTGGCAAGAAGCTATGAGGCAGCGAGGCTAGGATTTGAGGCTAGGTTCAGACTGACAGGGCTTTTCTGCTAGGACACCTTCTGGTTCTGAGTACTGTGACTTGGCTGCAGTCTAGAGGACTCAGATGAAGGCACTAGTCATTCCCAGTGTGAAAGTGTGAACTAGAAAATTCATGATGTTTTTCTAAATTCTGATGGAAAAATAGCTCATTTTGTTCTCTTGTAAGATAGAATGCAAAAACATCCCCAACATCATGGTTTTATTCCTTTTTCTTTGCTTTTTGAGTGGAATATGCTAGGGCCTTCTAGCAATATCCTGCTGTTATAAAAATACCTGTCACACTGAAAGTATTTTGAAGTTTATAACCTAGTACTGAACTATCCATACCATACAACATGCTTACCTGCTATGGATCAGTACTTTTATAAAACACGAGTGAATATTGAGAAAAAAATAAAAAGTTGGTACATGTCAATAACCCTAGTACTTGGGAACTGGAGGAAAGAGGACCAGGAGTTAAAGGTCATCCTTGTTTAGCTAGCCTTAGCTAAATAAGACCCTGTCTAAAAAAAAAAGGTGAGTTGGTGGTGATGCTGAGTTTGAGTCTCAGAACCTGCATAAAAGCTCTGCATGGTGGCTTATTAGAGTCCTAGCTCTGTGGAGGTAGAGATGCAGATCCCAGCCTGGCTAGCCCATTTGTTGAGCTCCAGGTTAGTGAGAGACCCTGTTCAAAAAAAAAAGCGAAAGGACCACTCCTGAGGAATGGTGTCCAAGATTCTCTTCTGTCCTCTCTACACAGGTGTGAGTTTTTATTATATATTCAAGAGGTAGATGCTCTTGTCAGTCCATGAACATAACAAGTCTTGCTCAGTTTCTGTGTTGGTTTTCATGGACGAGTAGCAAGTACATTATATGACCTGGAACAGTCTGTGGCCTTCTGGATTGCTACCTCTGTGACTGTAAGCGCCATCAGGGTCACTGGGGTCTTGGCTGTATTTATTTCTTCTGGTTTCTTTTAACCCTCTGACACAGAATGGTTGAAACTTGAAGACCACACTTCTGTCCTGAAGCAGCAACCCAAAGGCCTTTGCTGCTCAGCCACCTCCCCCACGTGCTAGTTCCTCATTTGCTGGGTACAGATTGGCTTTCCAGGGCTGCTGTGTTCCTAGCCAACACTTTCTGGGATGGGACGCCAATGGTTTGTTACCAGGGAAATTTTATCACAAGGAAAAGCAAATACACAGGCCAGTCTGCAAAGGAGATGGATTGCCAGTATGGGTGTCACATGGCATGTAGTGGCTGAAATGAGACTGTTGGAGCTGTTGAGTTTGCCACCTCTGCTGTTTTGTTCAGCCAGTGTTTCTTGACAGCTTGAATTTGGAGCTAGAGAGACGACTAAATGGTTGAAAGCACTGCGTGTTCTCGTAGAGTACCTGGGTTCAGTTCCCAGCCCTCACATTAGGCAGCTTGAGACAGCTTGTAACTGCATTTCCAGGGGATCTGGTGTCTGTAGGTATCCTTGAGGATGAGGTGCACATGAACTAGTTGTGCGTGTGTGTACACACCAGTGTCGGCAGGGACCAGAAGAGACCGTAGGGTCCCCCAAAGCTAAGTTATAGACAGTTGTGAGCTCCTTGACACAGTGCTGGGTTTTGAAAACACTACCATTCTCTGTAAGATCAAGTATTCTTAACTGCTGAGCCATCTCTCTAGCCCAAATAACAAATCTTTAAAAAAAAAAAAAAAAAAGAAATTTCAGGACTTTATTCAGCATCCATTTGGTTCCCAGACTGCAGTCTGTCAAGGCAAACATGAAAACTTACTCACAATTACTGATGGGAAGAAGTTTTAAAATCAATAGCAAATACATTGTACTCACTCTTTCCAGATACTGTCAGGCACTCACCACACATAGCATTTTGCCTTACAACCACCCATTAGAGGGAGGCAGTGTTCTCCCTGTTTTCAGATGGTGGAGCTTGTGTATCACACTTGGAATGCCAGCACTTAGGAGGCACATGCCACATTTCGGTTGGGCGGGAAACCAGCCTGGGCTCCACAAAGCCTGTGTCAAAAAAAGAGGGAGAACAATAGAGGTGATGGGTCAGGTCAAAGCCCTTGTCCAAAGTCACATGGTGAGCAAGCAGTAGAGCCAGGAGTTGCAGTTAGGTCTCAAAGTGCAAAGTTATTATGTTAAAGGAAAAATGAGACGCGTTAGAAAGCCTTTGTTTTGTCTTTTAGTCCTTATTGACTGGATTGTGTCCCCAGCAAATAGAAATGTTGACATCATATTCTCCAGAACCACAGATTATAGTCCTGTTTCAAGATAGCCCTTGAAAGACATGGTTAAGGTAAAATGATGTCTTTAAAGAGCAGGACCAGCTCAATAATTAAGAGGACTGTCTGTTCTCTCAGAGGTCCTGAGTTCAATTCCCAGCAACCACCACATAGTGGCGCACACCATCTATAATGTGATCTCATGCCCTTTTCTAGCATGCAGGTGTACATGCAGATAGAGCACTCACACATAAAATGAGTAAGTACATCTTTAAAAGAGCAGGACCTAACCTGATGGGAGTCCTAAGAAAGAAGAAAAGGTCAGACACAGGAGCCCAGACAGAACACCATGTGTGGACTAGCTCAGACCAGAGCCCTTAGGAAAAAACCAGGCCTCCCCACATCTCGATTCCGTAAGTGTAAGAAGACAAGTTCTTTTTTACATAAAGATGCTTTGCATGCACACTGGTGCCCACACAGGTCAGAATAGGGTGTTGGGTTTCTTGGAGCTGGGGCTACCTGATGTGGGTGCTGGGAGCTGAACTTGGGGCCTCAGGAGGAGCACTACTTGCTCTTAGCCTCGGAGCCATCTCTCCAGCCTACTCTTTAATGTAGAACATTATAGCAGCCCTGGCAGACAGTCTTCCAAAAGCCCAGCTAGGCTGGCCAAATTCCTTTTTTGTACCTAAGGAGTTTAGCCCAGATTATATGATTTGCCTAAAGTCACTAGCTCCAAAGTTCCCTTCTACTGAAAGATACTGGACTCTGACCCAGTCCGGGGTTGTTTTTTTTTTTTCTTTCTGTTTTTGTTTTGTTTTTTTTAATGACGTTTTAGGTAGTCCTAAATTAGCTTCAAACTCACTGTGTAGCTCAGAGTGGATTTGTGATCATCTTACTCCACCTCCAGAGCAGGCACATGCCAAATTTTGTTGTTATTTTGTTTTCAAGCAGAATCTCTATTATGTAGCTCTGGCTGTCCTGAAACTCACTGTGTACACCAAACTGGCATTGAATTCACAGAACTCCATCTGCCTCTGCCTCTGGAATGCTGAGATTAAAGGTGTGTACCACCATGACCAGCTGTCAGTTTTTGGTTTGTTCTTAATCTCTCTGTCTCTGTCTGTCTGTCTGTGTGTCTCTGTAGGGAGAGAGAGGAGAGAGAATAGATGTGGATGTACGTGCTCTGGTGCATATATGGCAGTTGGGATGACAGCCTTGGGGATCAGTCCTCATCTTCCACCTTGTTTGAGATGGGTGTTTTGTTTTTCTGTTGTACAGGCTGAGCTCCTGGGAATTCTCCTGTCTCTGCTTCCCTTCTCCCTGTAGGAGTTCTGGAATGACAGAGACACTGCTTGGGTTTTAGTGGGTTCTGGGAGTTAAACTCACGTGGTCAGCAAGCACGTTTGCCTGCTGAGCCATCTCCCCAGTCCTCTCCAGTTCATTACACGTTGTGGAGGTTCAAGATTTTTAGATTTCCTGAGGTGAAACTGGAAGCCAAGCAGATGAACACCCCAAGGATTACAGAAGTATAGGAGACTGAAGCCAGAAAGCAGGAGGTGACTCCATGACGTAAATGAGTGTGTCTAGGAACAAAGAAGGGGGAATTGGAGCATTCAAGGGTAAGTGTTTATTTGTTTATTTGTTACCTACCTTTTGAGACAAGGTCTCAATGTGTAGCATACTGGTTGGCTTGGAACTTAATAATGTAGACCAGGCGGGCCTAGACTCAGGTCTGTCTCCCTAAGTTCTGAGATTATAGGTATGCTCCACCATGCCGAGCTTAGTGAGTATGTTTAAGCTCCTAGTTTATTCTTTTCCAAGGAGAAACCAGATGCAATAGAATCCCATGCCCAGAATGGTGGCAGGGCAGTTTTTGAGGCATATTTGCAAGATTGGGTTGTTTAAAGATTGACTTTATTATCTTTAGTTATGTGTATATGTGTGTCAGAATATGCACATGTAAGATCAGAGATGTCCAATCTCTCCCCGGGGCTGGAGTGACAGGCAGTTAGGAGCCACCTGATACAGGTGTTGGGAACCAAACTCAGGTCCTTCGAAAGAGCAGAGTACCATCTCACCCACTGAACCATCACTCCAGCTCCAAGATCTGAGTAATTTAAATTTATTTCTTTTCAGATGCTCCATCCAAGTCAGCGTGAATCCCTCAGTCTTAAAAACAATGGGCACGTGGCTAGCGT